ACTCCGAGTTTTGTATGGCTAGCTTATGAGGGCCGATAAGCCATAAATAGTCGTTTCAGTCTTCCATATCTTTGTTGGCTCCTTTCAGGTGTTACCACTGATCGCTGCGCGACCACCCACGGGGAGTTTAAATTGAGTCCCATGATGCAAAGTAGGGAGCATGTGGCGTGACCAAATTGTTGAAACCCTTCTTATGATGACTGGACTTATTTGTACGTCATATTTACATTGGACCATCGCGGACTTTGCTTTCACAGCAGCATGCAAGCATGGGAGGAACAATGTATGATAGAGCATATTGGTGCCAGCCACCGACAACTGGAGTAGAATTTGGTCGGCTATTTCCGTGCTCTTTTGAATGTTCTCGAACAGAGTCAAAGGCGTGAGATAATGGGGTAGCATTGGAGAAGAAAACGAACGATCCGGTTGCAACTGCTGCTTCCTCCCAACTTCTGATTGGCGTAGGGATGGAGAACGACAGCATACGATTCAGAAAAAGGGGCTATCATTTCCTAGTCTCTGTGAGAAAACATCTTTCTATACTAATGCAGTTATAGACAAGACTTCTACGAGGCTGGAGAGGTGTCCACAAATTGTCGCCTTACACACTGACCTGGGTGATTCTAGAAGTATAATAATCCAAAAATGTGGGTAGAGTGCCGTTCGCCCCAGCAGATAGAGATGGCTTGATTGACATTTTTCGGAGAAGCGAACTAGCCAAGGGACCGGGGATGAAGGAGGTATCCTGATCCACCACAGCGCTGGCCATAGGTGGACTTTGTGGAGAGCCAATCAGACTGGCGGCATCTTTGCCTGTTTCTTCAGCTACCAGACAGCTATTGTAGAGGATAGGAGAGTCGGGGTGGATCTGGAGGGGGCGGTTGAAAACACATTATCAGAGAGAAGCTGGCATCGAATGATAAAGAAAACGCCTATTGACAGTAATGGGTTCACTACTTATGAGGAAAGAGAGCCGCATTTGGTGTAAGGGCAACGATTGGAATTCTATACATATGCTAATTTGCGTGCGATGAGATTTCCTGAGGTGCTTTTACGGCTAACGCAACGAATCCGGAGCTCGGATGTAATCGTCAAACTGGTGCTTGAATTTGTGACAACCTTTTTATGACAACCAAAGATATCGTCGTCGGTATCACGGATTGAGAAGTGATAAACGAAAAATACAAAATCAATAAGCACTTCGATAGCCTGGGTAAAATGAAATAAATAATGTCGATTATTCTGCGCAAACAGATTTTGCCTTGAAAGGAAACACTGAAAGCATTCCAAGGAAATATGCATAACCGCGCTTTCATGTATCCTTACTACTGAAAGTTGTGACAATTACGCAGAGGAACCGAAAGAAGGTATACTGAGATGACTGACTTAGAAATCGGATATAAAATAGTTCCTCTGAAATACTCCATAAAAATGAACTAAGACAACTGAAATTTACACTTTTAGTTCATTAAAAGCCTTCAGAATCTAGTGCGAACTGACGGCAGATGTTATTTCGGAAAATAAACCTAAAAATGGACCGTTTCGGAGTAATTATTAGTCAGAGGTTGGTTGGCTTTATAAACACTGCACACCTACGCAAGGGTGTCAGGCCACTATTCCGACGTAAACAAAACGCCTACCATCTTTTGGATATAAAACACATTCGTGGAACCATTTTCAAGGTAGTCTCCCATTCAATGATTGAATCACTAACTGTCTGACAATTCAATAGCTTACAGCAGCTGACCAAAATTCCGACACACATTTTCGGTTAGAAAGTAATACTCAGTTATAATTTTAATAGGGTGCAGCATAATCCCAAGAAATTTCAGTCATGACAGAATTTCGGATTTTAGAAGGGCATTTTCTAGCCACCGGTCGAAACTCTGTAAAAATGACTACTAAAGTCCTATTCTTTTTCAACATGGATCTGCGATGCCTTTACTTATAAATTGAAATATTTTGCACAAAGATATTTTTCTTGTACTTATATAAAGGGAGATGTTGAAGGGTCACAGGCAAGGAATACCCTTGATGACCGTATTAGTGTAGAATAATCTCATAATTTTTACAGTCAGTATGAAGTTGTAGACAGTTAACATAACGCACCTTCCAGCAAGTTGTAGCGGTACAACGCGAAAAAGGTATGAAAACAGACTAGAGTCCGGACAATTCTTACAAGGCTGGAAGTAAGAAGTTATGTTTTCAGAGTAGCATTTTCTCAAATATAATGCTATCAAGTCTTCTTTTAAAATTAGCAATGGTGTCGGCGTTAACCATCTCGCTTGGTAGCGAGTTCCAAGGTCGTACCACTCGTTGGTATCAGATAACTGCTTCAAATTGCATATTTTAGCAAAGATAACCTAGTTTCTTTACTCAAAACTTTTAAATTTCCGATTAATTCTGAACTCGACTCGTAATTGCATTTGCGCCTTTGATTTGAGGTGCTATTCAAAGACTCCGAGGCATTAAAAACCTCATAATCACAAGATTTTTCCAAACCATGAGAAATGCTTTAAAAAAGTCTAAAAGTTTAAGACGTAGTGTACTACCAAATGTGTACAAAAAGAGTGCTTGTGTCTTATAAAATACAGCGGGTTTCCTATCTCATGAAAGGTCAGGCGAAATTCTGAATGTGTTTCCGATTATCGTGCAGCCTATTCCCAAAAATATGTCAGCCCCGTCTGGATGCCCACTTTTGAAAGAGCTTTTTTTTCTAATCACTTACAAAAAGCATGCATTTTCCTCTCTCATTTTCGACATTTTACAGAAAAATGCGCAAAAAATTCTTTCTTGTACCCGTTGGGCAGCAAATTAAATCCTCAAATCGGTTTCTGAAAACTTTCAAATTTGCTGGTCAATGCTGAACGGTACTGGCTGTTACGCTTGCATGAAAGGATTCCAAACTACATGCATTCTAACATAAATCACATATTTCTCAACGCTGTGAAGAGGCTACAAAGTACCCATAACATTTGGCAATGGATGCGGTTCAAGTTGTATACTTTATACGCAATAGTGATAAATTGAGGCATATTACGTACAATGAATAAGACTGAAAAACATTCTTGCGTTAAGCATAAAAAGTGAATATGTATAATTTCGTGCCAAACGAATTTAACCAAGGAATATTTTCGTGCATATGTTTAATGGAATACATTTAGATATTTAGAAGGAAGTCGAAAATTAATGATAGAAATGCATAATACTTGATTAATCGTTTTTCATAGTATATTCTCCGCATACGACGGGAAGGAAGCTGGTTCAAAAGCCGGCAACTTATCGTGACTGAAATATCCCGGGGTTAGGGCTACAATAGTTAATATTACAACCCCATTAGAGGTTACTGACAGCGCTTGTGCGAAGTGCTGACGAGGGGGGCAGTGTGTGGAGTGCTTGTATGACGAATCAAGAGTTAAGACAAAAGGACCTCCAAACGATACGTTGTTGAGCGCAACTGTGCAGCCACTTGGAAGTTATTTATGCGGGTAGCCAGTGGTTCGAAATGCTCGACCATCACTCCTGGGGGAACGTTTTGGGTATAGAGTCCCCCGCCAACACAGAGGAAATGGGAAAGCGTACCTGAAAGAAGATGACCTCGCCGTCAACGACTGTTCTGGTTAGGTGCGCCAGCAAAGAAGCCGGTTCAATTTGATGGACAGTACGATTTGCAAATTCCCTGAAGAAGATCAGAGGTGTGTCCTCCGGCAGGCCGGTGCGTTT